GAAAAGTGAACGTACGAAAATGAATCGGGGAACGGACAAAACAGACGTCAACGACATTTATTAGAGGGTCGGAGATGATTTTTGATATATAAAAAATATAACAACGACCGACAAAGAACATTACTTTCATGTTGTTAACAAAATAAAACTTCTTGTCGACAGTAATTACATGTCATTGAAGATCGCAAAAGAAAAATTGTCTTTGAAAGGTTTATAATATGTTGGGCAAAAGGCGACTATCATATGCCTTGCAAAGAGGCCTCCGACGCTTACATCTGATTCACCAAGTTTGCCACTTTAATTTCAAATTTTAAACAAGCTGAGTGCACAAGCAAAAAAAACCTTCGCAATGTCCCCGGACAGATAGCACCCCTGTTTGCTGTGAAAGATTCGAACCTTGTAGGGTAACCGTGATGATCATACTTTCGACCTAGTTAACTTCCAAAACACTGATCAGCGACACATTTTGTCCATGGCATACAGGGTTCCCGTACATCTTCAAGCATCGTCACTTAAAAAACAACCACATAACAAAATTTAAAGCAACCCAGTTCATGGTATCTGGACTCAGTCTGATAAAATTCTTGTATTAAGTAAGTCAATAAACGATCTACTTTGCGGTATTGTCATCATAACAAGCTAACTATCATCTATTGTAAACTGTCTAGTTTTCTAAAACAGTGGTTTCATTTCGTTCATGATGTGCGGGATCTCTGTATTCTACATGCGCTTCTATGGTCACGTACTCCCGCAAGAGCAGATGTCGGACATACATGATTGTAGTGTCAACGAGGCCATCAAGTAATACTTTCAACGCCGGCTGTTCTGTAATTGCTCTCCGAAATTCAGCTACACGACGCACATGAGCATTATATGTGCTTGCACATGCCGAGTAATCGTTATGAACAAGGAATGACGTCGCATCAGATGTTGAAGTGTCAGTGTCACGGTCGTCAGCTCTACGACATGCAACATCGGATTCATATGCCTGTCGTTGCCGATGAACGGCAGGGGAGGTGCTCACGCAAGTAGCGACATCGATTTCCAATTCTCGCTTTCTTTTACGAGCAGGCGTGTTGGAAGTGAAGACGTCGTCGCGAATTACATGTTCGGAATTTGGAGAGCACGTAGCGAGGTTGTGCATTTCCGCATGACAATTCTCATCCAGTAATGTGTTAGACGCCACGCAGTCCATACTTGCCAGCGCTGGATATTCAGCTCTCCGATACGAAGTGCCGCAAGGCATAATGAGTTTGCGAGGACAAATAAGCTCGTTAATGCACTGAAGGCAGAACTCGTGATGTATATGACGAAGAGTTAATAATCATTCAATGCATGTGTCAGGCACGGAATACGGATTACTCAATCGAAGCGTTGTTGTGAAAAATGAAGAGGCCTAAAAAGAAAACAAAATTCAATATAATATGGCAATCCACGTATGACGACACACATGCCAATAACATCAGTTGAGAAATGTGAACGGATTGTTTTCATTTAGCTAGTACATCACACATCTTTTTAACATGATGACCACTCAGAAAGCCTTGCCACGATAGTATTCTGCAACGAATTTTATATTCATGAAAATATGGCAAACGAGGTATGACGACACGCATAATGTGAACGGATTGTTTTCATTTAGCCAGTAGACCATACATCTTCATGATGACCAATCAGAAAGCCTTCCATATCAACTATAACAAGTCGGCAATTCGAAGTGTGGAACAACATATGGTCAACGAATAATGACATTGTGTTTTATTAATATGAAAACAACTGTCTTCCATAGGACAACAGCCTTCGACGACACACTGTTGCCCGGGAAGCTGGAAGTTGTCGCGTCCCTTACAATAATACTTGACAGGGCGAGGCAGTCTCTAGTATTCTGGACTGGTAACGAACTCGGACACACATGAGTCACCAGTAGCCGCGATCGTGTCGAACACGTCCGCCCACGATAGCGCGAGGCATTGTCTGGTATACAGAACAGGCAGCAGTAACGATGGAACGCCCTGTGAGAACCACCAGTTTATGCCAAACAGTCGCCTTGCCGAAGTCCTGACCACCAAATGCACTGTTATAGAGGACACAGAGCAGAAACAACATAGGGCACACACCAATTCTTCAGACGGTCGAAAAGGCCATTAGTAGAGATCGTACCACTGCGGACATATGTCTGGTTAGGCAATTGACAGCGTGAGTTAGTCTTCACTGGTATCCCGAAGAGCTCGAGGCATCTTCACTATTAGTAGACGTCTGACCACTGTGCACATTATGTCCGGTCAGGCCGAGACAGTCTTTAGTACTGTGGAATGCTAATGAACTCGGACACATATGGGCCAGCAGTAGCGATTGTGTCGAACACGTCCGACCACGATAGCTTGAGGCATTCGTTGTTATCGTGTTATCGTGTTATCGTGTTATCGTGTTGAACACGATGACGACGGAACGCCCAGTGAGACAACACTGGAGACTACCCACGCAGCTTGGACTTGACAGGGCGAGGCAGTCCCTATTCTGGACCAGTAATGAACTCGGACACGAGTTGTGCAGACGGTCGAAACAGGCGCCAACAGCATTTGAGAACCATCGGTTTGTGCCAAACAGTCGGCAATCCGAAGTCCGGACCACGAAATGCACTATTGTAGAGGACATTTGACAGGGTGAGGCAGTCCCTATTCTGGACCGGTCGTAACAGGCGCCAACAACATTTGAGAACCATCGGTTTGTGCCAAACAGTCAGCAGTCCGAAGTCCGGACCACCAAATGCAGTATTATGGAGGACAATAGAAAGAGCACAGGAAAGGCTGACACAGGCGCCTACCCACGCTTTCGTTAGAAATAGCACAGGAAAGGCAGTGTCACAGGGTAGACATCAGTTGTCGAGGCAGCCGAGACAGGCGCCCTGTGATGCCTTGCAAGACAGCACATGAGACTTGAGAACCATCAATTTTTTCCAAACAGTCGGCAGCCCAAAGTCCGGACCCACAAATGCACTATCATAGAGGACAGTACAAAGAGCACAGGAAAGGCATTATCACAGGATAGACATCAGTTGTCCGGACGACCGAAACAGGCGCCTTGCGACGCCTTGCAAGACGGCACATGAGACTACCCACGCTTGCGTAGTTGTTCGGTTTGAGAACCATCTGTTTGTGCCAAACAGTCAGCAGTCCAAAGTCCGGACCACCAAATGCACTGTCATAGAGGACAGTAGAAAGAGCACAGGAAAGGCAGTATCACAGGATAGACATCAGTTGTCCAGACGGCCGAAACAGGCGCCTTGTGACTCTTTGCAAGACAACACATGAGACTACCCACGCTTTCAWAGATGTTCTRTTTGAGAACCATYAGTTTGTGCCAAAYAGTCGGCAGTCCAGAGTYCGGGACMACCAAATGCACTATTATAGAGGTCAGTAGAAAGAGCACAGGACAGTCATCATCACAGGACACACATCAGTTGTCCAGACGRCCGAAAYGGCGCGATGTAGTCCAACACGACGAGGAAGGAAAGCCTTGTGTGTGCGTGTTGAGAACCTTCCGTYAGGTGTGGTTATCGTGTTGGATCCGATGACCAGGATACGGCAGACACAGTATCACAGGATAGACATCGGTTGTCCAGACGGCCGAAACGGTGCGATCGAGTTGAACACGACGAGGAAGGAAAGCCTCGTGCGAGCGTGTTGAGAACCTTCTGTCACGTGTGGGTATTGTGTTGGATCCAATGACCAGGGTACGACAGACACTACGGCACAACAAAAGCAGCAAAGGCTATTCATGACCAAGGCACAGCGAAAGCACTCCACGCGGTGTGGTTGCCGTGTTGGATCAGGTTTGGTTGTCGTGTTGGATCCGATGACCAACGTAGGTTACCTTGATACGGGCACAGCAAAAGCACTCCACGGGGTTTGGTTGTCGTGTTGGATCCGATGACCAGCTTTGGCTAGCACTCCACAGGGTTTGGTTGTCGTGTTGGATCCGATGACCAGCTTTGGTTACCCTGACCCGGGCACAGCAAAAGCACTCCACGGGGTTTGGTTGTCGTGTTGGATCCGATGACCAGGGCACAACAAACCAGCTTTGGTTACCTTGACCCGGACACAGCAAAAGCACTCCATGGGGTTTGGTTGTCGTGTTGGATCCAATGACCAGGGCGCAGCAGATGACCAGGGCACAACAAAAAGCACTCCATTAGGTTTGGTTGTCGTGTTGGACACGACGGTCACAGAGTGCAGAAGGAGATACAGGGACCATTTCAACCCACGGACATGCTAAATGTTGACGTCACCAAGACGCAACACAACGACAGAGTGATCGTGACCGTCGATTTATAAACATCAACCGTTCGCAGCACAATCTTCAGAGAGAGAGATGTGGCGGGATGATTACTTGGGCAAAGGACCATGGTCGAGTCAACCAGATCACCGATTTGCGCAGTAGCAGCTTCGAGCGGCGATTCATGCAGTTACTGTAGCAGCTCTGCTTGCCCCGCAGCTTTGCTTGCCCCGCTTGCAGCAGCTCGGCCCGCCGCACCACACAAAAACCGTGCGCGCTCCAAAAGCACGAGTCGAAGTACCCCCCCTCAGGAAATGAAGCTATCGGCATCAGTTGGCCTACTTCCCGTCGGGGGACCGGAACCCGGCGGCCCAATTTTGACGTGGGGGGAAGGTCCCAAACCAGTTGGCCTACTCCCCGCTGGTCGACCGGAATGCTCAATCGATACCGTCAGTCGCTCAGATCTGACGGTCCACGACTGACGGTCCACGTAGCGCGGGAGGAGACATTTTCCGGAGGAGGGTCGACGGTCCGGTACCGATTTTCTGGTGCAGGGTCATCAGCACCGTCGGTTCAACACGATCGGACCGCCGACAAAGTGCGTAGAAGGACACGCCGCAGAGTATAAAAAGAGTTGTGGGTCCCTCCTGCACTTCTCATTTCATCCTCTCCGACTTTCACGCGGGGTGTTTTCAGCGCTGCTTTGCCTTCAGCGCAGGGCGCTTACGTCGCGACCTTGTGTGCACCCCGGTTGCATACGCGGGCGTCGTGCATGTTTCTCATGCGTGAGTGTTTGTTTCTCATAGCTGGTGTGGTGGCACAGTCGAAGCACACGTCGGAGCAGGACCAAACCTTACCGTTGGAGCAGACCGTTGGAGCAGGGCCAGCGAGCGGGAGTGAGCAAGAGCGAGACTTTGCACCGACGAGCACGAAGCGAAGGGCAGAGTACGGACGGTGAGGATCTGCCCAGATCCGTGAGATTCAACGAGGGCTTGCCACGTGGCACTTTCAGGTTGTGTTCGTCGTTCATTGTCGTGTTGAACAGGACGATCACATGCGAAGCACCACAGGTGATCGTCGTGTTGAACGCGATGATGGACGGCGGGGCGGGTTTCATATAAACGAGCGCAGGACTGCCCTACGGGTGATCGTCGTGTCGAACACGACGATCACCCGTCGGGCAGTCCTGTGCTCGCCAAGGTGATTGTCGTGTTCGACACGACAATCACCTGCCAAGCACAACAGGTGATCGTCGTGTTGAACACGACGATGAACGGCGGCGCGGGGTTCATTGAGGGTGAGCGCAGGACTGCCCTGCAGGTGATCGTTCGTGACGACGATCACCCGTAGGGCAGTCCTGCGCTTGCCCTACGGGTCGCCCAGGTCATTATCATGTTCGACATGACGATCACCTGCCAAACACGACAGGTGATTGTCGTGTTGAACACGACGATGAACGGCGGGGCGGGTTCATTGAGGGCGAGCGCAGGACTGCCCTACGGGTGATTGCCGTGTTGAACACAACGATCACCCGTAGGGCAGTCCTGCGCTCGCCTAGGTCATTGTCGTGTTCAACACGACGATCACCTGCCAACAGGTGAGGTGATCGTCATGTTGAACATGACGATGAACGACGGGGCGGGGTTCATTGAGGGTGAGCGCAGGACTACCCTGCGGGTGATCGTCGTGTTGAACGCGACGATCACCCGTAGGGCAGTCCTGCGCTTGCCCTACGGGTCGCCCATGTCATTGTCGTGCTCGGCACGACGATCACCTGCCAACAGGTGATCTGTCTTCGTGTTGAACAAGACAATGAGCTTCGGGGCGGGGCGAAAATCATTCATTATCGTGTTGGACACGAAGATTAGTTGCGGGGCATCGTCGTGTTGAAACCGTCGGGCAGTTGTGGTTTACTTTCCCTCCCCGCAGCTCATCGTCGTGTTGAACACAACGATGAGCTGCGGGCCGGAAATCATTCATTGTGTTAAACACGACAAATAGATGCGGGCTGTGTGTGTGCATTTGCTGATTTTTTCAATTTGGCGTGCAGGGCGTTTGCTGATCGCGATGGCAATTTCAGAGTGGATGACCCCGGGACTTTGGCGCGAACGCATTGCGTACCCTTTCCCCCCATGCTCGCTGCGTGTCTCCGGGTGTCGAGAGTTCACTGTCATTGACGGTGCAACGAGAAACAATTTCGAGAGTGATCCGTGGATGACGGTCGTTCCGTTCTACACCACTCCCGTCGACTTGTGGCAGGAGTACGTTTGGGAGAAAATGGTCGAGGACTGCCCTTGGGCGGATGACTACAAATTCCCGAATATGTGCGAGTTCGGGAGTTTAATTCATGTGCCCGCTGATGTGCTATGTTCAGTTCAGTGCCGTCACTTGAGTGCCACGCTGCTGTTTAACCGTCGCTACAATGTTTTGGACTGTAACGTCGTGACTACTTCACCGCGCACATGGCCCCGTTCGCTGAAACACGAGTTGCTCGCCTGTGCAAACCATTCCGATTTCATCGACGCATACCCCTTGCGATCTCCCGGGTTGTTGCCTCGAACGGTTTCGTATTGTTGCGTTAGACTGCGTCTTGGGAAGTGCTTTCGCTGTAGAGTCCTTTGCGTCACGTGCTCGAACCGGGATGGGACCTTAACTGACGCTGTGGTCTACGTGTCCAGGAATGAATTGGACCTGGGTGAGGAACAGCATGCCCGAACTGTGGGGAGCGGTCAAGAGTCTGGTGGCCGTGGTCAAGGGTCTGGTGGTGGTCCGAGCGGTCGAGGGTCTGGTGGTGGTCAACGGACCCGCACACAAGATACAGTGCGGCAGGCAGGTTCGGGGGAGAGGTCTGTGCATGGACAGGCAGATAAAGTTCCCGTCATAGACTACAAAGATAAATTCTGGATGTTGGACTGGGTGGGCGAGGCGGGGCAGGCTGGAAGTGGTTTGATGTTGTACGTGGTGTTCAGAGAAGATATTAGACCGATAGGTGGTATTCAATCTTGGGCAGGGAGGGATGGTCAGCTTGCCACTTTCGAGTTAACTATGCAACTCAACGACAAAGGCCACAGAGTTGCAGAGACGAACCATGTCGTTCTCATGTGGCGAAACCACAAGGGATATGGTAAGTCACTTGTGGATGTTTTCAATCCTGATCCGGATAGCTGACTCCGGTTACCTGACCTCCGCCAAGTTCGCGCGTTCTTCGACACGAATTCGGTGGAGGGCCATCGTCCGGTGGCCCACAAAGAAGACACTATTACGGAACCGAAAAGTGTTATGTCATCGGCACGCCCGACTGTGGGTGCCATAACGATTCGGTAGCCATCAGTGACCACGCCCGCCGTCCGGGAAGAGAGACAACACGCTCTCGTATCCACGTCGGTGGTCCCTCGAGCGGGACAAATCGCTGCCAAGGGCCGGTGGGAGCAAAATTGCCACTGCCCATCTTCTTTGATTGCCATCCACGACGCTCTCGATCACTAATTGTATTCTCACTATCGTTCCCCTCTTAAGAACCTTCCTCTTCCTCTTCCTCTTCCTCTTCCCTCTGTGAACCTTCGCCACTGCGCCCCTCTCCCGGATCACCGAAATACAAAGGCTGCACACCACGGTGCACAGCACCATACATAGGTTCGGCACACATGCTTGATGTAAGCACAATGTCATGTAACACGGACAACGACTCTTTCACTCCAACCGAACGGAATTTCTTCGGAGCTGGCGGCGGAGCCTGGCGCAATCACGATTTTACGCACATGCAGAAAATCAGATCCGGCTGCGGCTTGCTCGACTCAATCCAAATGTTTCTCCATCGAGAGTGGACATAAGGACGAACGAGGTTTTTCAGGAGCTCAAGGCATTGCGAAGACTTGAGTACTTGGAAGAATTTTATGACAGATAAACAAGCCCGACATTTGGATATAACTGGCGCATTGATGAGGGCGACGAGACCGGTGGGAAAAGGGGACAAGGCCCTAGCGGTAGANAACTGGCGCATTGATGAGGGCGACGAGACCGGTGGGAAAAGGGGACAAGGCCCTAGCGGTAGAGCGCGTGGAGAGGGAGGTGAACACCCAAGTGGTGACGAGGGCGGAGGTGACGAGGGAGGATGTGATAAGGGAGGTGATAAGGGAGGGAGTGGTGAGGGTGGAGGAACATCTGAAGCGCCTGGGTATAGTCAGCCAACAACAGGCACATCAGAAGGGCAAGCCCATCGTCACCATGAGAGAAGCGTCGGTGGTGAAGGAGGGCACATCGACATTCGTGGTTTGCTGCAGGTCAAGCTGTTTGCTGCAGTGGAACAGGTTGACGAAGGATATGAAGGTGGGCAAAGTGTCACCACAACACTCACAGCTATCACAGTGACAGATAATGAATGGTGTGATGGCAGTGGCGCAAGTGTCTTCCCCATTGGCGAGAAGGGCAATATTGGTAGCCCACAAGGCCATATGTGGATGTCTATGGATATTTTGCCATATGGGTTGGGAAGCCAAGGGCAGCTCAGGGCATCATTGGATGAAACCATGTATCTGGCGGAAACGGAACAGCAACTCGAGGCTCACACTCCACTTGATGAAGAGACACTCAAAGGCGACTTAGAGATTCCTAATGAATTTCAAAGTCCGATATCAGAGGAGAAGGCACAACGAGGGTCTCAGGAGGCGGGTACTGTAACAGGCTACCAGGAGGAAGCTATGCTTGCGGAGGAGATGGAACCGGACGGCGAGCCTAACAGTCCATTTGATGAAGACATCCCTGGCAGCGACTTCGATACTGGTACTTGAGGGTCTCAGGATTCGCCTATTGTATTCGATACTGCTGGGAAGAACGACACTCTTGAGGGGCTTGTGGCGAAAGAAGCAATTCAAGTGTCGGACATCGAAGAGGATGAAGGACATATTGTACCAACTACTCCAGAGCAACAGACACCTGCGGAGGAAGGACGAGAAAGTACACTTTGAACTCCTGTGCAGCAATTCAGCCCATCTGTCAAAGTGATAAACATCGAAGAATCCCCTTTCACATCAAGACAGTTCGGAGATGCAAAAGAAGACGGTGCTCAAGGGAAAACCGCAGTTAGTCGCCGAGGTGAGCACTTTACCTTACGAAGTTAATATATGTGTAATATTGTACCTAGAACGAAAGATGATTTTTCGGTTTTGCATGTTGTTGTGCATTGGAACTGTTCCATGTTTATTTGCATATATGTAGTGTGCCTTATAGTGCGTCCGAATCGGTAAATGAAGCACACGATCGACTTTTAATAGTTTGACTCACAATATTTTACTGCTATTAATATTCATTTACATTCATGTTGTTTTAGCGGATTTGTAATGATATCAAAATGATCGTTACTCATATTACTCGTTACTATCGGTGATGATTGTGCTCTATACATTGATGAACGTGCAAGCCTGCGTAAAGGAACAGTGATAAGAAAATTATACGTTGTGGTTTGCAAGCCTTGTCAACGCTGCCGTTGTTACCCAAAACAGTTAAAAGACGAACACAACCTGTGACGATCCCGTTTGTGAGGCCAGCTGCTCTAAGGATGTTTAAAGCTGTGGGAATAGGGACGAAACAAGGAAAGAAATTGCACCGCGAAGTTTGCACTGTATCTGTTGTGGAAAGCGGCAGCGACAACGAAGTTGGAAAACAAGCACCGTCATGAACTTCGTGTCCGCTTCTTATATCTATTTTCATAAATGCACTACTTGTATGGAAGTCTTAGACATACCGTTGTTGTTTACCTGTGTGTTTGTATGCAGTGCCTGACCAGTCGTTCAAGATTCCTCTAGCAACGCAACCCCTCACTGAGGTCGAGATGCAGTATGTTGAAAGGGTTGTGAGGACCGGTGAAGAAAACGAAGAATACGACATTGTTGTTTACAAGGGTGACTGGAAGGTGGAAAAGAAAGACATTATGCTCATCATTGAAGCAGGAGGATGGTTGAATGACGAAGCCGTAAATTTGTATTTGCTGGCAATCCAGATCGACAATGATAATGCCAGAGAGAATTTGATGTCTAGAGGACAGATTAAAGACGAAAGTCTGAAGGACATTCCATCTGTGTATATTCTAGATGTTTTTTTCTATGTCAGGATGGCATCCATGACGTCCAGAGAAATTGCTTACTATGAGGGAATGAAGTGGGTTAGGGGAAGAAATATTTTCGATTATAACTTTGTACTTATCCCTTTGAACTTTGGAGACCACTGGGCTTTGGCATGTGTTAGAATAGACGGTTGCAAGTGTGAATTCCGGCTATTAAACTCTCTCCCTCGTGGCGACCGCCTCGCAGCGCTGGAAGTAGTAGCCGCATTTTTTAGAATGGAGTTCAGACGTCAGAATCTTCATGAAAGATATCAGGTCGACGAGCTTGCAACACCTTTCGAGACATCACTTGATGGGGTGCCTGTCCAGCATGACGGTTGCAGTTGTGGTGTTTTTATGTTAGGTTTTGCATCTTTGTTAGCGAAAGGTCACTTTCCACCATTCGATTTCTCGCAAGAGAACATCCCGTATATGAGGCAGAGAATAGCATTTGACATTTTGTCGATGGTCGAGCATGAGTGAACATTCCAAATATGCAGATTTTGATATCATTCAACACTTTGTTGATGGTTAGTCACAGTTTCAAGTGCTATGTGTCATTCGACACTTTGTTCATAGTTAAGAATAGTCTCAATAGTTTGTGTGTCATTGNTTGTGTGTCATTGAACACTTTCTTGATGGTTAACAATTGTTTCTATGGTTCATATTGCTTTCCACAATTCTCAAATGTTATTGTGCAAATGACATATTGCTTTCCGGAATTTCCAAATTTTATTGTGCGAATGACGTATTTCTCAATTGCCAATGTTAAGTTCTCACCATTTCGCCTTGTTTCATCGCTATTTTCCTCATTTCTTCCTCTCTTATATGTGTTATTTTACACTCGAAAAAAAAAGTGAACATGAAAACAATTTCACTTTTAACGAAAACACTGTTCTCCATGGATTTCATGGATACCCTCATGACCAGCAAGAGTGGCAAGAGACACATCTTCGTCATAGTGGATAGGTTCACTAAGTATGCTAGACTAATAGCCATGCCTGAAACCGCAAGGACTGGACACGTCATCAAGTTATTCATGGATAACTGGGTGCGTGATTTTTGACTGCCCAAGTCTATTGTTAGTGACAGAGATGTCCGATTCACGAGCGAAATGTGGAAGAAGGCTGCTGAACAAATGGGCAGACAACTTCAGATGACCTTCGGGAATCACCCCGAAGCTAACAGTCAAGCGGAACGGATAAACCGCGTGGTGCAACACTTGCTGAGGCATTACATTAAGCCCAACCAGCGTGATTGGAATGAGAAGCTGCCTCTCATCGCCAGTCCATATAACAACTTAGTTCACAACACCACATGCGTCTGTCCGAACAAGCTGCATTTGGGATGGAAGCCGAGATCTACACTAGACTTCCTTCTTCCTAAAAATCGACCAGCTGCAATACCTGGAACCTTAAAGTTCAGTGTCTGGTATGAAAAGTTGTTGCAGCAGGCTGTCGAGCACATTAGGAAGTCTCAAGGGGCTATGATTGCCTCTGAGAACAAACACAAACGACAATCCACATTTCAGGTAGGGGAACGTGTGAGGGTGAAGGCTAGCGAACTGGGTCAAGAATTTGGCATCTCTAGAAAACTAATGCCTCAGTATTTCGGTCCTTGGGAAGTCCTAGATATTGTGGGTAGTGATTTGGATGGACCCTCGTACGTCAGCAGAATCCCTGGACATCTGCGCACTTACCCTGTGTTTCACGCTTCAAAGCTTGCACCTTTCGTTGAGACAGATATGTTCCCATCAAGAAGGTCCATGCTGCCCCCAACCATGGATGGCCATGTGGACGTCGACGACATTTTGGAACACAGAGACGTGCCTGTTCCCAAACCTGCTGGCAGGGGAAGACCACCCAAACCTATGAGGGAATACCGGGTCAGGTTCAGGCACCATACGGATCCAAAGGAAGATCGTTGGTTCACAAAGGAGGAGCTTGTTAAAACAGCACATCAGATCGTGGCAGACTACGAACGAAGACAATCCAGCGCAGTCCTTGTTTTCTGGAAAGAGCCCGGAGGGTCATGCAAGTGTTCTCGGTTGTGGGCCCCAGCTAGCCTTGTGCCCGCCCTAAGTGAAGGCGGGCCTGAATATCCACAAGAGGCCTATTTCTGACATTTCCAAATGTGGGCACATAGACAGTTGCAGCACGTCAGTTGGTTGTAGGGAAACATGACCCTCCGGGCTCTTTCCAGAAAACAAGGACTGCAATGTATTGTTGAGCCCAGGGCCAGGTGGTTGCGCCCTGGGCACACGCAGCGTGAGGCCGACACATCACGCCGCGGGCACATACGAATGAAAAAGCAGCATTGTTGTCACACATCTCCGCGAGCCAGTGAGAATGCGGTCAACCTGTAGCATATCAGAAAGTGAAATGCACTAACAGCCTAGGATCTAGCAATGATGAAAGTGGCAACAACCAGCAGCATAGATGCAACATTTACCAGATGTCAATGTGCACAATGCAACAAGTAAACCAACGAGAAAAAAACAACAACAACACATTTGCATCATCATTATCATGGGCTGGGGAACAGCGCAGCGGAATAATAGTAACCAAGAGGACACGTGGACAACAACAGG